TTTTTAATGATTTTGAGTTTTGTCCCACATTGTTCTCCCTCTCTATCCAGGATCTCCTACATAGATCTCCCTCCAAGATTTTGACATTGGTAGCTGGGCACCATCTAGTTCTTCTGGTCTCATAGTCATATAGGCTGAAGATCACATGGTGTACCAATCCCTTGGACTAATTGTTTCCATGTGTCTTTGGTTTTCTTCATTTTTCTTTGCTCCAGATGAGAGACCCATTGTTGCATCTAGATGACCACTTGCAAGCTTTTAAGATCCTAGTCACTACTCACCAAAGTAAGATGTGGAACAACGTCTTTGTGTATTACTTTATGCCCGTTGAGCCTGATGTCCACTGCAACTATAGTCCCAAGCCCACAAGTCCAACTACTCACTTGCTCTGGATAGCTGGCTGTGGCCAAGAAGTGACTAGTCCCTGTGGGAAAAATATTGAATGACACAGAAAACATCAAAAGAAGATAGAAGAAATACACAGAATCACTGCACCAAAAAGAATTTGTTGCATTCGACTATTTCAGGATGTAGCATGCTGAGTCAAATAAATCAGTCACAGAGGAAAATTATTCTATGATTCCATGTATAGAAATAAGCAGCAGAAGTATGACCAGCACAATATCACTAAAGAAAAGGAAGACACAGAGAAGTACACAGGAGGTACAGGCAACAAAGGTAAATATTGTTATATATACAATATTGCATTATCAGTAATAACAAACACTATCTATGGGTGGATACATAGGTAGACAGGTGAGAAATTGAGTATGGGTAGGTGAACAGAAATACACTCCTGACCCTGCATAGGTTTGGGAGATATTATTCCTACATGTGTATTTGTATGTGCTATAAAAATGTCCATATGCATTGAAGAGCTAACAAGGGACAAAGTTAGGATAACTTCTTAGCCACAACCAAGCACTTGAGAGAGTGAGTCACTGGGCCTACAGGCTTATGATTATGGCCACAGGGGACATCAAGCTCAATTGGCACAACAGACTCACAGCAACCCTGTGTACAGCAGAACAAAACAATGACTGGTCCTGCACCATCCTCACAAGCCCTGCTATGCTTAAGCCCGCCATTGCAGCCTCTGTGTCAATCCATCTCATTGGCACAACATTGTGCACAAAAACATTGTGTACATCTGCTTTGGTGAATAGTGACTGGGGTCTTAAAAGCTTACAAGAGGCCATCTAAGATGCAACTATTTGTTTATCCTTGTCTAGACCAAAGAAGAGTGGATAAAACCAAAGACAAATGGAAACAATTAGTCCAAGGAAATAATGCACAATGGGAACCTCAGCCTAAGCAACCCAGGAGAGCTAGATAACTCCCAGCTACCGACACCAACCACTCAGAAAGGGACCAAAATGGGAGATCCTAGACAGAGTGAGAGAAAAAATGTGGAACAAATTCAAAAACATAAAAAAAGATCAGGATTACTCGTTGGATAGAGACTGGTGAAACCCGACACTATGGCCCCTAGTCACCCTTCGGGCCTGGAACTGGACTCACTCCCAGGGCTTAACTCTCAGCCGAAAAAATAGACAGGTCTACAAGCTGAGCAACTACACCAGGGAGACGTACTCCTTAGAAGAGTCAACCATGGGAGATCAAAAAAGTAGTGTTTGCACAGAGAGAAAGCTAGGTAGGCAGGAATGCATAGGTGAGGAGGACAGAGGGAAGGTAACCACAGGGAGGAGGTGGGAGGAGAGCTGTTCCATTGTGGGGATTATAATCAGTGTCATGGAACAAAATACGTATGAACTGTTGAATGTAAAATGAATCTGCTTTGTAAAATTGCACCCAAGGCACAATAAAGTAAGTTTTATTTAAAAAAAAAAAGTGCAGTTTTCTTATAAGAAGCATATTCTAGACTCAGGATTGTAAGTCAAAGTTCTTGAACTCTTAAAACAAAACCTTCAATATTATGAGATAGCTCTTTGCCCTTTTTAGCAAACAGACTCAGCTGAAAACCAAGGTACGGAATAAATATAGATTTAACTTCAGTCTGATGGTAATAGATATGTAAATATTTGCTAATCTTTCTTCGTCTGTCTAATGGACAGATAGATGGTTGTCCCCACAAAGCACCAGAAACAACACAGAAGTCTTCATTAGCAGCTGATGGCTGAAAAGTGATGCTTCTGTTTCAGTTATTATTCCCAGCCAAGCTCCATTTAAAAACCTGGGGCTTCCAATTGTCTGTGTCCTAAACCATTCAGTTATGATTTCCAGCCAAGAAGAAGGATCTTAAACTTTTCTGCTTCCTCCGTATCAGGCTTTCTCCACTGCACCACTACTGGCATTGGGGTGGGACTGTTCTTTGCTGTGGGGGCTGTCCTCTGCATTGTAGGATGTTGAGCAGCATCCCTGACCTCCTCCCACTAGGTGCCAGTGACACTCCTTCTGCAAGGGTAACAACCAAAAATGTCTAGACATTGCTGTTGTTTGGGGGGAAGGGGGACAGCATGGCCCTCAGTAGAGAAGGTTGCCCCAATCATACAAACATAAATAGTATCAGTTCAGACCATCCGGAAACAAAGTTTACCCAACTCACCTGCCCACCCCTCCACCCTTTACTCTCTCTTCCAATAGTAACCCCCTTTCAATGTCTTTTACAGACATCAGCTCCTCAAAGACACCACCAACCAAAGGCAAGAAAAAGGTGAGTGGAGGCTGAGCCCTGGAACCTAGCCATGCAACAAATATTTACAGAGCTCAAACTGTAGGACAGGGTGTATATATTCTGGGATATTGTCCCTCTAAAGACAGGGATCTAATTGGGAGATAGAGAAAAGTCAGCTTTTATGGGAGAAGCTGACTGAATAGTTTCCCAAACTGTTCTCATCCTTCTCTCTACTACTGGCCCAAGAAAGATAAACTAAGAAAAAGTGTATTAGGGTATGTGATGCTGTTGCAACAATGAGACCCAAATAGCCATTGGCTTTTTTTTACAAACGAGCATTTATTCCTCTCTCCATTAACAATCCATAGGTGAACTATCTGGGCTGATTGGAGGGACTTGCTCTGTGAGGCCATTAAGGGCCCTGAGTTCTTTCCATATTGTTGCTCCACCATTCCCTGGGGTGTTGTTCTCAAGTGCATGGCCAGAGCATGGGTTGCTGATGGGAAGGGGGTAGAAGGACTTCAGGCAAATGGACAGGAGTGAAAGGTGGGGATGGGCAAGTGGAGAGAGGGATACATGGAATCCTTAAATGAGACTCTAAATGCTATAAATGGTTTGTGGTCACCTTGAAATCAACCCAACAGCCCTGTGAAGGAAAAATCTTGGTAATCTGCTTTTGTTAATCTTTACAGAAGTAGATTGCCCCGTCTTCCTTCCACAGAGCACTGGTAGGTAAACCGCCAACCTTCTGGTTAGCAGCCAAATGCCTTAGTCACTGTGCCACCAGAGCTCCATTGTTAAGATTACAACCAAGAAAACCCTATGCAGCAGTTCTACTCTATAACACGTGGGGTTGCCATGAGTCAGAATCTACTCAACTGCAGCTAACAACAGTTTTATGATAATTTTCTTAGAGGCATGTCTGAACTCTGAATTTTAATAAGTAGAATGATCCATGCCAAGAGCCTACAGTCTAGTAGAATGGGCTCGTCCCTTCCCCTCTCCACCCCCTACTCTCACCTTGCACTACTCCAGCAAGACTCTTCTGCCTTGCCTTCCCCAGCCTCCTTGCCTTTGTACATGCAGTTCCCTCTATCTGAAACTCCATTTCCCAGGTCCTCACCTGGCTGGCTGCCTTCCACTCTTTGTTTAGGCTTCAGTTCAGGTATCCCCTGGAACGCTTCCTTTACCTCCTCCATCTGAGATAATGCCTCCAGCTGCATGTCCCTATGATGTGGGGAAGGAGAGGATAGAAGTGTGGACTCTGGAATCTGGGAGTTGAATCCCAGCACCACAGTAGCCAGGATACATTGGGCAAAATGTTTTAACTTCTCGAGATTCATTTATTCATCTGTAAAGTGGGTGTGATAATGACACCCACCCCTTTGGGTGGTGGGAAGGGCCAATGAAATAATATAAGGTCTTAGCCTGATCCCAAGTAAGTGTTCCTGTCATGTCATCCGTTGTTATCTCCAGCAAACTGAAGACACTGACATCATGTGTCATCACCCCTAGATTGCCACCCCCTTAAGGGCCAGAACTAGACTAAGCCCACATTCAGGCCTCAATGAATGCTCATGGAATTAATGAGCAATAAATAATCATGTGGTCAACATGAATATTTCATTATAAAAATGCACTGCTGGGAAAAGATAGGTTCAAAGTCATTGTGTTGAACCAGTCACTATGATAGAAATTGGAACAGCAGCTCCTTCAACACCTACCTGTACAAATGAGTTTAAATCAAGAAGACTTTAGTGGTCATTTAGAGAAGAGAAAGATGCTGTACATATCAGATAGGAGGTGGGACCCTGTTCCTAAACAGAAAGTTCAGCTCAGAATTCCAAAGACTCAGAAGACTGAAAGAGTAGAACATTCAAAAATTATGCTTGAACCTCAGTTCTGAAAGTTCCTCTAACCCTCTATAAATGTCAGTCTGCTTATAACTCATTGGCATGATAGTATTTTCCTCCTAAATGTGTTCATCCTGTTGATGAATATTTATTGGGCACCTGCTGTTTCCCAAGGATGTCCTTGTTATTGTTGGGTGCTATGGAGTCAATTCCAACTCATCGCAACCCTACAGGACAGAGTGGGACTGCCCCCAAGGGATGTTCAAGGCTGCAATGTTTACAGAGAAACCCTGGTGGCACAGTAGTTAAGAGTTCAGCTGCTAACCAAAAATTTGGCAGTTCAAATCCACCAGGCACTCCATGGGAGAAAGATGTGGCAGTTGGCTCCCTTAAAGATTTACAGCCTTGGAAACCCTATGGGGCTGTTACAAAGTGTCACTATAGTGTCTTATAGGGGCCCTCTGAGTTCACTATGAGTCAGAATTGATAGCAACTTGTTTTAATCTTTATATCAGCAGATCAAGTGCTTAGCCATTGTGCCACCAGTACCCCTTCAGGCAAGTGCTAGGTGCTGGGAAACAGCTGTGAACTAGACAAGATTCCCACACTCATGGGAGTCACTAACTAGCATTCCAGTGTGCACACAAATCCCCGAAAGTCTTGTTAAAGTGTACATTTGGATTCAGTCCTGCTTGTCTAACGGCTCCCAAGTGAGGCTGATTGCTGGTTTGAGGACATATTTTGAGTGCAAGGACATGGGAATCTGTACAAAAACAGTCATTCAAATCTTCTGTATTATAACCAAATAAACCTCATCTTGGCCCTTCATCGTTACCCAGCCACCGGCCTGCATCTTTGCTCTCCTTCATAGACTAATTTCTAGACTTCAAATGGCCAGATAAATGTGTTATTATAGGTATTCCACAATTCAAAACACAAAACAAGATGTCTGGGTGAATTCCCTCCATTACCATAATTCTGTTTCCAGGTTTCTCAACCTTGACGCTATTCATATTGAGGCTTGACAGTTCTCTGTGATGGGGCCATCCTGAGCCTTGCAGGCTGTGGAGCAACACCCCTGGCCTCTACCCACTAGATGCCAGTAGCATCCCCCATCCAGGTTGCAACAACCAAAAATGTCCCCAGGCATTGCTACATGTCCCCATGAGAACCAGTGGCCTATTTCTAGCAGCCTTCCCACCTCACTGTTGACAAAAAACAACTAAGTTATACACAATGTTTCCCGGGCACAGACACTGTTCTAAAGAGTGTTGCTGTGCGTTGCCATAGAGTAAGCTCTGACTCATAGCAACCTCATGAATAATGGAATGGAACGCTGCCTGGTCCTGTGCCATCCCCGTGACTGGTTGCAGGTTGGACTGCTGTGATCCATAGGGTTTTCACTGGCAGATTTTTGGAAGTAGATCACTAGGCCTTTCTTCCTAGTCCATCTTAGTCTAGAGGTGCCATTGAGACCTGTTCACCATCACAGCAACCCACAAGCCTCCACTGACAGTAGGGAGGTGGCTGCACTTGAGGTGCATTGGCCAAGAGTCAACCCTGAGTCTCCTGCATTGGAGCCAAGAATTTGACCACTGAACCACCACGACAGCTCTTCACTCATTTAATTCTCACAAAAACCCTATGAAGTGTGATTACTGTTCCCAACTTAGGAGGAAAATGGGACCCAGAGTGATTGAGTGATTTGCCCAAGATCACACACCACAGAGTGGGAGACCCAAGAATTAAGTCCAGGTCGTCTTGCCAGAGCCTGCTTTCTTATGCTTTGTATGGTCCCTCAGAATGGGGACATGTCAGAATGGATTTCTTTTTATTCTTTTTTGTCTTCAAAGCTGCAACATGTTATTGACAAATTCAAGTCACTTATCACCAATCAGACTTTTTGGAAAACAGAAGATAAGAAAGAAATTGCATCCACGGCCACATCCATCCTCCAAAATGTGGAATCGAGTGTTCTAGAAACTGCTCTGAACACCCCACAACACAAAGTCCAGAAAGTCCACAAAAGTACTGTGGGTAAGATAATGATAGGGCCTGGTACACAATAGGTATTGGTCACTAGCTGGGGTCTGGGCTAACCAATTACCAAAACAAATGCACGCACACACAAATACACTACATAAGTCCATTTTTATAAAATTCTAGAAAATGCAGATTAATCTATAGTGACAGAAAGCAGATCAGTAGCTGTCAAGGATGGGGAGGAGTGGGAGATGACAGAAGGGCATGGAGAAACTGTTGGGGAAAATCTTTACTATCTTGACTATGTGATACATACACCCCACAAAACTCATCAGATTGTGCATTTTAAATGTGTGCACATTATTATCATGTAAATTACACATTAAGAAGATTTTCTATATACACACAATGGAATACTATACAACACTAAAGAATAATGTTGAATCTGTGAAACACCACATAACATGGATGAACTTGGAGGACATTATGCTGAGTGAAATAAGTCAATCACAGAAGAATAAATATTGTATTAGTTAACTATTGCTAAAAGTCAAGGAAAAGTTTATAAATGGAAGGAAACTTTCTTTGTTGGCTACCAGGGATGGGAGGAGTAGAGAGGAAACACTGCTAGATAGTAGAGACAAGTATTGATCTGAGTGAAGGGAAGGCCAATGTACCAAAAGCAAGTGATCAACAAGGTGGCACTGAGGAAGAGGAAGACGCAGAGAGGTACACAAGAGATCCACACAACAAAGAAATACCATCATACATATGCAATACTGTGTTGTCAGTGATAACAAACATTAATCTATGGGTAAATAGATGGGTAGACAGGCTGAACGATCAGGTATGTCTAGGCAAAAGAGAATATATCCATGACCATATATAAGATTGGCAGACAGTATTTCACATACATATTTGAATGTGCTATAAGAATGTCCTAATATGTAACAGAGCTAACAAAGGACAAAATTATCATAACTTCTTGGCCACAGCCAATTGCCCTGAAGGAGTGAATAGTTGGACCTGTGGACTTGAGACCGTGGTCGCAGGGGACATCAAGCTCAATTGGCATAACATACTACACAAAAACATTGTTCCACATCCTACTTTGGTGAGCAGAGACTGGGGTCTTAAAAGCTCGCAAGCAATCATCCAGATGCAACAAGGGTCTCTCCTTATCCAGAGCAAAGAATTAAGAAAACCAAAGACACATGGAAACAATTAGTCCAAGGGACTAGTAGACCATGCAATCCTCAGCCTGTCTGACCGTGAGACCCAGAAGAACTAGATGGTGCCTGGCTACCACTGTCAACCACTCAGAAAGGGATCAGTGCAGGAGATCCTGGATAGAGTGGGAAAACAATGTGGAACTAAACTCAAAATCATAAAAAATAAAATAAAATAAAAGACTAGGTTTGCTGGTCTGATAGAGCTTGGTGCAACCCCCAAGACTATGGCCCCTAGTTACCCTTCAGATCTGGAAATGAACTCACTCCCTGGGCTTCTAAACAAAAAATAAATAGGTAGATACACTCCTTAGAGCTATCAATCATGGGAGAATAGAAGGGCAGTGTTTTCACAGGGAGATAGCTCAGGGGGCAGGAATGTATAGGAAAGAAGGATACAGGGAAGAGGTAACTACAGGGGGGAAGTGGAAGGAGAGCTGTTACATTGTGGGGAATTGTAGTCAATGTCATGAAATAAAATGTGTATGAACTGCTGTATGGAAAATGAATTTTCTCTGTAAGCTTTCACTCAACACACAATAAAAATTATTTTAAAAAGAAGAAGATTTTCTTTAAAAAAAAAAAAAAAAAAAAAAAAAGTTGCCAACAGTTTCCAATCCCTGGTCTCAGATTTTGGCTCTAAGGTAGGATTTTGAAAGTCCGGTGCCTACCTTCTCTGGGAGTCCCTGGGTGGGAAAGGGTTGGAAGCATGCTTCTCAATGGGGATACACCATCACTTACTTAATCAATTCCTTCTTGTTGCACATCTAGGTGATTTCCCATTTTTCACCATTATCTCTGCGGCCGTGAACTTTCTCATAACTACATCGGCCCTCTCATCCTTGACTGTTTTCTGAGAATAAATTCCTAGAACTAGAATCATTGCTTCAAAGGTGATGTGTCAAAGGTCATGAAACTTGGTGTCAGGAGGTAGAGTCTTACCCAACTTCTGAAACACAGTTTCCTCTTCTGTTTAATGGGTCCTCATGGTGTTTTAAGAAGGCTGTTACAAGATTCACACATAGAAGGTCCTTAGCCTCATACCTGGCCCATCCCAGACATTCAGCAGATGTGGGCTGTTCCTGTTGGTTGTACATAGTTTTAAAGCTTCTTATGATATCAGTAAACCTGCCTGTTGCTTTTCTCATCAGCTGTTGAAACTCAAGTTGTTACAGACAACTGCTCTGAGGAAAGAATGATCAGCTTGCAGGCCCAGAGGAACTCATTGGATATCCACTGCAATGACATCATCCAGGGAAACATACAAGGTACATGTGTTGGTGTCACACAGAGTAATATTATGTGAGTTATGGGAAAACATCCCCTAATGGGTTTGTTACCCTAAAATGGTGTCATTTGAGGATTTTTTTCTCTAAAAAATATTCCAAAGCAGGAGTTTTTCTGTTCTTCCATGCAGACACAGTACAGACATCCTGAATGAGAAACAGATGGGACTCTATGCATCCTTCAGCTCCAGATGAGCAAAGGGAGCTGCTGTTGGTGTGTTCTCATCATTCAGCAAATGTTTATTGAGACATTGACCATAAGGTCTCAGGGTACCACCAATGGTTTGTGCTCAATTACTAACCTAAAGGTTGGTGTTCCAACCCACCTAGTGGCTCCACTGAGAAAGGCCTGTGATCTGCTTCTGTAAAGAATGCAGACAAGAAAATCCTAGGAGCAGTTTAACTCTGTATGTAACTAATGGGGTCACCTTGAGTAGGAATCAACTCAATGACAATAAAAAAATCATCTACTATATACTAGGCTCTGTTCTAGTGAACAAACACACACATGTACACATGCACACACACACATCATTGTCATGAAGCTTATGTCTAGTTAGGGGAGACAGTCTAATAATTAAATACATACATTTACTTTGTTACCAGTAATTATCAATGCAATCAAGATGCATTGATAATTACTGATGGTTGGAATACAAAAGTTGAAAACAAATAAGAAGGATCAGTAGTTGGAAAATATGACCTTGGTGATACAGGATAGAATTTTGCCAGACCAAAACTTGTTTATTAGAAATGTCTTTTTCAACCACATAAACAGCAACTATATATATGGATCATGCCAGATGGAATACACAGGAATCAGATAGTATACATCTGTGGAAAGAGACAATGAAAAAGCTCATTATCATCATCCAAAACAAGGCTGGGGCCACCTGCGGAACAGACTACCAATTTAAGAAAATTAAGACAAGTGCACAAGAGCCAAAATATGACTTTGAGTATATCCCATCTGAATTTGGAGACCACTTCAAGAATAGATTTGACATGTTTAACACTAATGACCAAAGACTAGAGAAATTGTGGGATGACAACAAGGATATCATACATGAAGAAAGCAAAAGGACAGTAAAAAGACAGGAAGAAAGAAAAGACCAAAATGAAAGTCAGAAGAGACTCCGAAACTTGATCTTGGGAGAGTAGGTAAAGCAAATGGAAGAAATGATTAAATAAAAGGACTAAGCAGAAGATGTCAAAGGGTGGCTCAACAACACAAAGCAAACTATTATAGTGAAATGTGAAAAGACCTGGGGTTAGAAAACTTCGTATTTCTCAAGCTGAAAGAGCTGAAGAAAAAAATCAAACCTCGAGTTGCAATATCGAAGGATTCTAGGACAAAGGCACTTGACTGCTAACCAGAAGGCTGGCGGTTCAAACCCCAGCCACTCCTTGGAAAGAACGTTGGGCAACCTACTTCCGTAGTGATACCGCCACGGAAACCCAAGGAGAGGTCGCTATGAGTTGGAGCCAACTCGACGGCATATAACAACAGGGACAAAATACTGACCAACACAACAATAAAAGAAGAGAGAAGGGATACACAGAGTCACTGTACCAAAAAGAATTAGTCAACATCGAGCCATTTCCAGAGGTAGTACATGATCAAGAACCAATGGTACTAAAGGAAGAAGTTCAAGCTGCACTAAAGGCATTGGTAGGAAACAAGTCTCCAGGAATTAATAGAATAATAATTGAGATGTTTCAACAAATGGAAAGCACTTATTTGTCTATGACTAGAAATTTGGCCAACTGACTGGAAGAGATCTATAGTTGTGCCCATTCTAAAGGTGATTCAACAGAATGCAAAAATCATGGAACAGTATCATTAATATCACATGCAAAGAAAATTTTGGTGAAAATAATTCAAAAATGGTTGCAGCAGTACATTGACAGGAAACTGCCAAAAATTCAAGCCAGATTCAGAAGAGGACATGAAATGAGGGACATCATTACTAATGTCAGATGGATCTTGACTGAAAGCAAAAAATACCAGAAAGATGTTCCTATGTTTTATTGACTACCAAAGCCATTTGACTATGCATATCATAAAAATTATGGATAACATTATGAGGAATAAAAATTCCAGAACAATAATTGTGTTCAGGCAGAAACTGTACCAAGATCAAGAGCTGTCATTAGAATGGAACAAGGGGATACTGTGTCATTTAAAATTAGGGAAGGTGTCTGTCAGGGTTGAATCCTTTCACCATATTTATTCAATCTGTATACTGAGCAAATAATCCAAGAATCTGGACTATATGAAGAAGAGCATGGCATCAAGACTAGAGTAAGAATTATTAGCCTGAGATATGCAGATGACACAACCTTGATTGCTGAAAGTGAAGACTTGAAGCACTTCCTGATGAAGATCAAAGACTACAGTCTTCAGTCTGGATTTAAACCTCAATATAAAGAAAACAAAAATCCTCACAACTAGGCCAATAAGCAACATAATGACAAATGGAGAAAAAATTGAAGTTGTCAAGGATATCCTTTTACTTGGATCCATAATCAATACCCATGGAAGCAGCAGGAATGAAATCAAACAATGTACTGCACTGGGCACATTTGCTGCAAAAGACTTCTTTAAAGTGTTAAAGAGCAAATATGCCACTTTGAAGACTAAGGTGCATCTGACCCAAGCTATATTTTCAGTAGCCTCATATGCGTGTGAGAGCTGGACAATGGAAAAAGAAGACTGAAGAAGAATTGATGCATTTCAATTGTGGGTTTGGCAAAGAACATTGAAAATATCATGGGCCAGAAGAAAGAATAAATCTGTCTTGGAAGAAGTGCAACTGGAATGCTCCTTGGAAGCGAGAATGGCCAGACTTCATCTCACATACTTTGGTCATGTTGTCAGAAGGGATCAGTCCCCAAAGAAGGCTATCATGCTGGGTAAAGTAGAGGGTCAGCGAAAAAGGGGAAAACACCCAACAAAATGCATTGACATGGTGGCTGCAACAATGGGCTTAAGCATAGCGAGGATTGAAGGATGGTGCGGGACCAGGCAGTGTTTTATTCTGTTGAACACAGGGCCACTATGAGTCAGAACTGGTTTCATGGCAACTAACAACAACAAAAATAATCAATGCCTGTGAAAACAGCATTCAAGAAATTAAAAAATGTATTGCATTGGAAAAATTTACTGCAAAAAAAAAAAAAGTCTTTAAATTGTTAAATAGCAAAGATATCACCTTGAAGACTAAGATGTGTCTGACCCAAGCTATGGCATTTTCAATCACTTTGTATGTATTTGAAAACTGGGCAATGAATAGGAAAGACCAAAGAAGAATCGATGCCTTTGACTTATAGTGTTGGTGAAGAATATTAAGTATACCATGGATTGCCAGAAGAACAAACAAATCTGTCTTGGAAGAAGTACATCCAGAATGCTCCTTAGAACTGAGGATGGTGACACCTCATCTCCTATACTTTGGACAAATTATGGGGAGGGATTATTCCCTGGAGAGGGACATCATGCTTGGTAAAATAAAGGATCAGTGAGAAAAAGGAAGACCCTCAGTGAGATGGATCCATACAGTGACTGCATCAGTGCACTCAAACACAGCAATGAATGTGAGGCTGGCACAGGATTGAGCCGTGTTCCATTCTGTTCCATACAGTGTAGCTATGAATTGGAACTGAGTCAATGGCACCTAACAACAACAACTATTTAATTTGTCAAGTGTTTTGAGAAACAAAGTGGAATAAGGAGATAAATAGTGATGGTGGGGAGAGATCTATTTCATACATGATCAGAGAAAGCCCTTGATCTTATGATATTTGAGCAGAAACCTGAAGAATGCCAGGAACCAACCCTTGCAGCTATCTAGAGGAAGAGTGTTGAAGGTAGCAGCAACAGCAAGTGCAAAGACCTTGAGGAAAAGCAACATGACTGCTGTATTCAAGAAATAGCAAAAATGACAGTGCAGCTGGAACAGAATGAAGGAGAAAGAGAGTTGTGGAGGACACGGGTAGGGAGGTGACAGGGGTAGGTCCATAGTCTGAAAAGTCCATAACCACTTCAGTAACAATTGAACCTACTTCATGGGTGCAGTGCAACAGGTTTCTCTTTATATATGGCCTTTCTGCCCTGAGTTTGTACTTCTGCCAAAAATAATTGGTTGGACCACAGCCTGCCCTGTGATTGTCTGTTTTATGTACCTTGCAGGGATTGGACAATTTACAATGCAAATAAAATGTATAAAATCCTTGCAGAATTTGGACAGTTTACTATGCAAATAAGGTGATTATGGCCTAC